TTTCGAACTCCTGACCTTGAGCAATCTGCCCGCCTCAGCCTCCCAGAGTGCTAGGATTACAGGCGTGAGCCACTGCGCCCGGCCATGGTCTCTGGTCTCGCTCTTGATCAGGCTGGTTTCAAACTCCTGACCTTGAGCGATCTGCCTTCCTCGGTCTCCCAGAGTACTAGGATTACAGACATGAGCCACCACGCCTGGCCAAACCACGGACACTCTTAAAAAACAGGGTTTCCATACTCCATGGCACCTTATACAATATCTTATGTATAACAAATGTTAAAAAATAAATAAAATAGGCCGGGCGCGGTGGCTCATGCCTGTAATCCTAGCTCTTGGGAGGCCGAGGCGGGCGGATTGCTCAAGGTCAGGAGTTCAAAACCAGGCTGAGCAAGAGCGAGACCCCGTCTCTACTATAAATAGAAAGAAATTAATTGGAAAACTATATAGAAAAAATTAACCAGGCATGTTGGTGCATACCTGTAGTCCCAGCTACTCGGGAGGCTGAGGCAGAAGGATCGCTCGAGCCCAGGAGTTTGAGGTTGCTGTGAGCTAGGCTGACGCCACGGCACTCACTCTAGCCTGGACAAGAAACCGAGACTCTGTCTCAAAAAATAAATAAATAAATAAATAAATAAATAAATAAATAAATAAATAAATAAAATTAAATAAATAAATAAATAAAATAAAAGCTTGCCATACCATCTTCATTAAAAAAACACCACCAATGAAAATGACTATTTACTTCTAATCATATAGACCATACTACTGGCCTTTGATTTTTTTTGTTTGTTCATTTGTTTTACAGCTTCAAACATGTCAACTGATTATTAGTAAAAAGCAATTGCTACCTTTGAAACGATCCCTGCTCCCTCAGCCTGTTCCCAGATGTAAGGAGAGTGTCTTCAAATCCAAAGTTTCATTTCTCACTCCGATCCCTACCCTGTCTCCCTACCACTCAACCTAGGATCACTGAAAGTGGTCTCCCTCTAAGGTAATGACTTTAACTTCCCACCAACAAAGCATTACACTGAATGCCGAACAGAACTTACCACAAAAAGCAAAGAAAAAGATGTTTCTAATGGCAATTTTACTGTTCCAAGACCAGTTATCAAAGTACTGGCCAGACACGGTGGCTCACGCCTGTAATCCTAGCACTCTGGGAGGCCGAGGCGGGCGGATAGCTCAAGGTCAGGAGTTGAAAACCAGCCCGAGCAAGAGTGAGACCCCGTCTCTACTAAAAACAGAAAGAAATTAATTGGAAAACTATATAGAAAAAATTAACCAGGCATGTTGGTGCATACCTGTAGTCTCAGCTACTTGGGAGGCTGAGGCAGAAGGATCGCTTGAGCCCAGGAGTTTGAGGTGGCTGTGAGCTAGGCTGACGGCACAGCACTCCAGCACTCTAGCCCGGGCAACAAAATGAGACTTTGTCTCAAAAAAAAAAAAAAAAAAAAGTATATACACAAACTCAAACCTAACCCTGATAACTGAGAAAGGACTCCAAAGTCACTGAAGAGATTAGAGCAGCCCATGCCGCTCGCCACCAGAGTTCTTCAAAAAGAAAACAAGATGGCTGCCAAGGCCCATAAGATGACTTCTAGAGGCTCAAAGACCACTCCCCCCCCAACACACAAAGCAGCCACAGAATCAACACCAGTGGTGTCTAAACCTGGCAATGAAAGATGCTCATAGCAGCAATTTTGAAATGCAAAAAAACCCCAAAAACACCCCACACAAAACAAACAAACAAACACACACATTCTTGGGCCTTGCTCTGACTTTATAAATCTGAAAATCCCAAGAAATGTATATTTTTAAGTATCCTGTGTGACTCTGCCACACAGCCAGGTTTAGGAAGCACTGGCCTACAGGACTAAAGCAAGAAGTGAAAACCCTCACCTGATACATCCATCAAAGGTGCCCGGTTTGAAGGGAATGCCCTGGCCCATGTCCCCTAGAAGCAGGTCTCCCTCCGTGTCTCGGTCCAAGGCCGCATCTACATTGAAGAATAGGAAGTCAGGGAAAGAGACAATACGTACAGCTGCTCCACACTAAAGAGAGCAGTCCATGCTGGTGGCAAACGGGACATACTTACCCAGCATGGCAGGGCTGATGTCAATGCCCACCCAATAGTGCCCCTCATCAGAGAGATAATTTCCACTCAGCCCAGAACCACAGCTGGAAGACATAGTCAAATAGAGACCCAATGAGAACAGTAAAAACATCCCACCATCAAGACAATCTGAACCAGGCCTCAGGATCTCACCCGATATCCAACAGGTAACAGGGCTGACCCTCAGGAAGGCAAAGGAGCTCCAGTGCTCGCCCAGCCATCCTGGTCTGCACATCAATCATCCGTGAGCTGGGAAGGCAAGCACATAAGTGAGTATAATGGAGTTCTGGGATAAAACCTCCAGTTGACCAAAAAAGCCCAGGGGGAAAAAAAGGATCATCCTGGGGTACACTTTTCTGACCCCTTCACCTGGTAATTCTAACTTGGAATCAACAAACTCAACTATTTAAAACTGATCCCAAAAGTCCATGTAATACAACAACATTCTATTTTGTTGTGACACAAATTCCAAGTGTACTAGCTATTAAAGCTGATGTGAAGGGAGCAAATCACTTAGCTAATGAACAACAACCATTGGGTATCTGCAATTCTAATAAGCTTTGATGCCCTCAATTACTCGTTAAGTATATATTTTCTTCAAAAATTATCTACCATAGTTACTCATATTTATATATAAAGATCAACAATACACGGCCGGGCGCGGTGGCTCACGCCTGTAATCCTAGCTCTCTGGGAGGCCGAGGCGGGTGGATTGCTCGAGGTCGGGAGTTCGAAACCAGCCTGAGCAAGAGCGAGACCCCGTCTCTACTATAAATAGAAAGAAACTAATTGGCCAACTAATATATATAGAAAAAATTAGCCGGGCATGGTGGCTCATGTCTGTAGTCCCAGCTACTTGGGAGGCTGAGACAGAAGGATCGCTTGAGCCCAGGAGTTTGAGGTTGCTGTGAGCTAGGCTGACGCCACGGCACTCACTCTAGCCTAGGCAACAAAGCGAGACTCTGTCTCAAAAAAAAAAAAAAAAAAAAAAGATCAACAATACACAACAGAAAACCAAAAGCAGTGCTGCCCATGACAAATATAATGCAAGCCACACAAGACTTTCCAGTAGCCATGTTAAAAAGACACTCAACAAAAAGGTAAAATAAACTGTTTTAATTATTTAACCCTACATATTTAATAATGTATTGTCTTTAAACCAACATGTCCAAAGTGTTAAACATATAATCAACATAAATTATCAGTAAGATAATATTTTAAGAGATGAGGTCTTTCTCTACTGCCCAAGCTAGAGTTCAGTGCTGTGATCCTAGCTCACTTCAGCCTCCAACTCCTGGGCTCAAACCCTCCTGCCTCAGCATCCCAAGTAGCTGGGACTACAGGCTCATGCCACCACACTTGGCTAATTTTTTTTTTTTTGTAGAGATAGGTTCTCATTATGTCGCCCAGGCTGATCTCAGACTCCTGACCTCAAGCAATCCTCTTGCCCCAGCCTCCCAAAGTGCTGGAATTACAGGTGTGAGCCACCCTGCCTCACCAATAAGACATTTTAGATGGCACCATAATATGCATCTATACTGCCAGCTACTCAAGAGGCAGAGGCAAGAGGATTACTTGAGGCCAGAAGTTTGAGGCTGCAATGAGCTATGATCATGCCTGTGAACAGCCACTGCACTCCAGCCTGGGCAACAGACCAAGACCCTGTCTTAAATAGTTTGCAGCCAACTGAAAACACATAGAAAAAATTAGCCGGGCATGGTAGCGAATGCCTGTAGTACCAGCTACTTGGGAGGCTGAGGCAGCAGGATTGCCTGAGCCCAGGAGTCTGAGGTTGCTGTGAGCCAGGCTGATGGGAAGGCACTCTAACCCAGACAACAGAGTAAGACTCAGTCGGAGAGGGGAGAGGAGGGGGAGAGGAGGGGGGAGGGGAGGGGAGGGGAGAAATAGTTTGCAGCTCTTCATACTCATTCAAATTAGAATGACTATTGGCTATCATACGGAACAGGAACAGAGTAGATGAGAAGAAAGTAGTTTATCTAGCCTTCCCAAAATCAAAGGAGAAAAATCACAAATAATAGTTTTATTACAGTTTGAATAGAAACGAGAGAATAGGTATTTACAGAATTTCCTACAGAGCAGGGTATAAGAATGGGCAGGATTGGAAGTCCTTGTTCTAGCCTTTAATCTGTCAAAATAACTTTGTAGTTACACAAATAATCACCCTCTTATGAAATTCAGACAATACCGACACCAAACCAATGGTGGCTGTGCAGATTTAGCGAGGTCAATAGACAAGATAAGCATCACATGAACATTAATCTCCTTTTCCCCAATAGTACTGACCCCTTACCCATACCCACTGCATACTGCTTACTTTACCACATGCTTTAAAGAAGTTGCCGCACTATCACGCCCACTTTCAATGCTGAGGTTACCATGGCGCAGAGGATTCGGTGGTTCACTTAAAGTTGACTTTACCAGCGGCAAAAACAACATCAACCCAAGTCCCTCTCTTCCCCCACCCCCAAAGTCTACTTGCGTTCCAAGCCATGCCCGAAATCAGGGCAACTTGCCGGTTCCCGACCCCCAACGTCGCGCAAAATCCAGGGTCAGCTCACTTGCGAACGTATTTCCGGGCTTCATTCTTGTCATAAAACTGCGAGAAAAAGAAAGAGGAATGGCAGGTGCTGAGACGAATCCAGATGCGGCAGCCCTAGAAGAGGAGAGAGAGGTGCCCGCGGGCCACAGGCCTCACCAGCTCCGGGGGTCCGCCGTGCTCTGGTCTCCGGCCGCGAAAAGCCATCACTATGCCTCACTGGCACGCTCGGCACTGGCGTCTCCGGAGCCCGGCTTTTATGTCATCAGCCTCGCGACCGCCTGGCAATACGCATGCTCCACGCCTCTCCCGCCTTCCTTTTTCCTTGATTGGCTACAAGGGCCGAAGCGCTGGGAGCAACCCGCACCTCCCATTGGCCAGTTCATTTTGCACCGCCGGCTTGATGCATTCAACATGGCAGCTGCGCGCGGCTTGAGGCGGCCGCGGTCGTTTCAGTGGAGGTTGTGGCAGGCCTGGAGATTTTCACAACATTCGGCATCCGGCCTGGGCGCGAGGACTTATTCCCGGGGCGACGCCTCGTACTCGCGCACGGCGCTCTATGAGCTGCTCGACGTCCCCACCACGGCCACGCAGGCGCAGATCAAGGCCGCCTACTACCGGCAGAGCTTCCTCTACCACCCGGACCGCAACTCGGGGAGCGCCGAGGCCACCGAGCGCTTCACGCGCATCTCCCAGGCCTACGTGGTGCTGGGCAGTGCCACCCTCCGTCGCAAGTATGACCGCGGTCTGCTCATTGACGAGGACCTGCGCGGACCTGGCGTCAAGCCCTCCAAGATGCCCACACGGGACGCCGGCTTTCCCCGTCCCCCGCCGGCCGCCTCTCGGGCCGGATACGGCGCTCCGGGCGCTAACCGCACCATGTTCGACTTCGACGCCTTCTACCAGGCGCACTACGGAGAACAGCTGGAGCGGGAACGGCGCCTGAGGGCCCGGCGGGAGGCCCTTCGCAAGCAGCAGGAGGACCGGGCCAACAAAGGCTTGCAGTGGGACCAGATCCGAGACTCTGCTTTCATTGTCGTTTTCCTCACAATCTTTGCTGTCTTCGGCTTTCGTATTTAATCGGAGAAAGGAGGGAAGGGGAGCTTCCCCAGCCAGCCCTGAGTAAACGGCCTTTCACGTCTTCTGAACCCTTGGCCTGCGTTTGTCTACCTCTACTGGGGTCTGAAGGAACGCCCTGCCCTCCCCGACCTGCCCAGCTTAGCCTGTGACCTGCACGTCCCTCCCCTACGCTCCACAAAAGGAGACTTTTTGATGCCTAAGAAAGAGGAGTCCCGAAAGCCCAGGAGTGAAGGGTTTTCTGGAATCCCTGGGTGCCTGCTTCCAGCGGTTGCCTTCCTGATGTTGTCGATTTCTGGAACACTTGCTCTAGCTTTATTGTAAAGCCCTGAGCAAGATTTATCTGCTCCTGCCCCACATATGTACCGCAGGGTTCCTGTGTAACCTTGAAACGTGCCATGTGACCAATTGTTGGCTGCCAAAAGAAAAAGTCTGGGGTTGTACGAACTTGTCTTTCTGTGAGTTCCCCAGGCCACAGGTGAGACCTGATCCAGAGTAAAAATGTGATCTTTGGAAAATTTGCCATTCCTCCCTCCACGGTCAGCCCCACACTGCACTCTTCATTTTGTTGGTTGCATTCGGGAGTGGGAAAACAAGGTCATCAAGCATAAGGAATGAGTTCCTGTGCCTATATTTATCTGATGTGTGACCTTGGAGATGTTACTCTGTGGACATGACAGCAGAGTAAATCTGTCACGCTTTATTGCCCATAGTTCTAATCCATGGTGATTACAACATAATGTTAGTAGGGCCAGGTATATCCTTGGGACAGTGTGCCTGTCACCTGGTCATCCCTTTACCTGCCAGCCCCATCCCTAACTGTGCAGCCCATCCCCTTAGAGTCCCATGAGTGTGACCCAAGCTCCTCTTTAACTTGCAGTGCTCATCACAGGCCCCACACATCCTTGAAAGAAGGCTGCCTGAGGCTGGGGGAATCCTTGGGGGTTTGGAGTAGACAGGACTACTGAAGGATAGGAAGCTTGCTGAAGGTGGAGACTTGGTTCCTTATGCATAGCTGGCTAAAGGTGTTTGTTTTTTTTGGTTTTTTTAAAATTTCCAATTCATGCAAAATAGTTGGTCAGAGCTGCAGGAGTAAGGCTGTCTTACCCCCGAGTCACCGGATGTAGGGAGTGGGTTGGCTGTGAGATTGTAGTGTTTGTGCACTGGGACTGACCGTTAAGCTGTGGGAGACAAAAACTCTTGCAGAAGGTCCACGGCAAGGATGAGGGCCTAAGTCTGGGCTCTAAACAAAGCCAGAGCTGGTTTGCTATATTACTGAGTGCAGTTGAGTGCAATTCTTGCTCTCAAATGTTAAAACTCCTTATGTAAATTGGGGTAAACCCTCACCTAGTCCAGCTTGGCCTCCTGAAAACCATTCAGGTCCCACCTGGAGGCTGGGGGTAAGCTCCCAGTCACCACTTTGCAGTGCCCATGTGATTCAATAGTAAAGATTTAAGCCCACCCTGGTTCAGACTTGCTTGGCTCAGTGAGCCTTGATTGGGTGGAGGGAGGACATGTACTTTTGAAAAAGAACATTTAATGTTATTATGTTTCACATTTGGAAAACAAGCTGGGAAGTCTGTTATTTTTGAAAAACAAACAACAGGAAGTGGAGCATAGTGAAATGTACAAGCTAGTGATTCTAAACCAATAAAGTGGGACATAACAGAGTCCTTGGGGCTAAGGCTCTTGGTTTCTGTCCAAAGGAGTTGGGTTCTTTTGGTTTGTAAAAGCATTAAGGGTCTATAAAAGCATGGGCCCTTTTGTATAGAGCTCTCAAGTTTGTTTTCCCTCAGTGAAGATCATAACTAAGAAGGTTCCCTGTGGCCCCAGAATCTCGAGTAGATAGAAAGTTTCAGACTAAGGATGGGTCCAGACTAAGTGAAACTTCTGGAACATTCCATGCAACTCTAAGCACGGCAGTCTATAAAGTTTATAAACCATTGCCAAGCCTCTCCCATGGCCCAAAACTAGGCCCACTCTGATAGTATCCATCCCCACCTGCCTGAGCTCATTTTAGGCCAGAGCTGATCTGTGATGGATTCCACTCCCTGCCCTCCCTTAAAACAGTCTGGGCTCTTCATGGAAAGGGAGATGTGTGGGAGGATTTATGAAGGCCTTCCAATTGGTTCCCATGGTAATATTCTCCCCCCTCACCCCCATTCCCCATGTTGTTCTCTTTCCTTGCTCCTTACCTACCCTAGCAAGGGGAGGCTGAACTAGGCCACGGACATTAGCCCCTGCCTTCTATGGGCTATTCTCCAGTTCCTGAGAGTGGAGAAAGGCTCAGACATCCCCAGCCTTAGTCATTTTTCTTTTTTTGGTCACAAACTAAAACAAGACTCCCTAGAAGTTTAGACCTGGAATGGGAGACTAGGGCAAAAGGGACTCAGCCTGCCCCCAGGCTGTGCTCAGTAGGGTGGGAATGGGGGTGCAAGTTTAGTACAAGGCTGAGTGAGCAGCAGGCACGGGTCCTGCATGGGGAAACTTGGGCAACAAATTAGAAATCAAAGCTGCATCTGTCTAGGCAATTGCCAGTGTTAAACAATAGTGTTTGAACTTGATCAGGACTTTATTCCTCCTGAGCCAAACTGCTTTTCCCCCTCTGTTGCCCCTTATTTATTGCTGGGTGAAATGACCCTTTGCAGATCCCAGTGTTGAGGAAGTAGGATTCCTCCCTATTTACTTCCATCTCAGGTTCCGGCATTTCATTCACTGGGTGCACCTCTGTAATTATCCCAATATGAGCCAAGATAATTAAGAACAGTTTACCTTAGGTTACAGAGTTGTCGATTGAGTCATGATTGACTTTGAAAGTCCTTATACCCTCAGTCTAAGGCTAATGCACCAACACTCCCTTTTTTGGGAAATTGGAGAGGTCTGTGTTTCAAACCTTTGGGCTTCCTGAAGGTCACCAGATGCTGTGAAAACAAGTTGAGAGAAGGGACAGCTGGTAAGTGGTGGCACTACCTCAATCCTCACTCTTGAACTCACTGCACTAGAAAACTTGGCTCTATCCTGGCCTTGCCTCCTCTTAGTTCCTCCGCACTGCCACCTGCCATGAGCAAGATCATGGGAGAAAACTGAGCTCAGTGGCACATGCCTATAGGCCCAGTTATTCAGGGGGCCGAGGCAGAAGGATGTCTTGAAACTGGGAGTTCAAAGCTGCAGGGAGTCGCTGTGAAGAGCTACCACACTCCAGCCTGGGCAACAGAGCAAGACCCTGTCTCTCTTTTTGACCAGCCTTGTCTGCCCTCAGCTGCTCACTCTCAGATGCAGCTTGCAGCCCTGGTGGGTTTGTACAAAGTGGCTGAGTGTCCCTCTGTCAATGTCTTAAAATCATAGTGAAATCTGAGTCTGGTCCTCACAACCTTGCATACACCAAAAATGCTCAGCGCTCTCATCCCATGCAGGAAGCTCATGCAGAGAGTTCATCTCACACCATTTGTCCTAAGGTCAGTGTCACTATGGATCTAGCCATTTTTTTTATTTTTTATTTTTTTTGAGACAGTCTCACTTTGTTGCTCAGGCTAGAGTGAGTGCCGTGGCGTCAGCCTAGCTCACAGCAACCTCAATCTCCTGGACTCAAGCGATCCTACTGCCTCAGCCTCCCGAGTAGCTGGGACTACAGGCATGTGCCACCATGCCCGGCTAATTTTTTTTGTATATATATTTTTAGTTGGTCAATTAGTTTCTTTCTATTTTTTAGTAGAGGCGGGGTCTTGCTTCGTTCGGCTGGTTTCGAACTCCTGACCTTGAGCAATCTGCCCGCCTCGGCCACCCAGAGTGCTAGGATTACAAGCATGAGCCACCACGCCTGGCCTGGATCTAGCCATTTTGTCATTGTCTTCAGGCTGGGGTCCTGTCACTAGCCTTTTAGTGGGTTGACTCCCTCTCCCATTCTGCCTTTGTCCCTTCAGCATTCACACTCTCAGCCATCAGAGGGGACCGCCACATGACAAAAGAAGGCTTGTTTCAGAAGACCAAGAGCAGACTGAGATTTGGGTTCACGGGCCACAGCCAACCTCCAGAAGGTGTTTAACAGGCAAAGTGTCCTTAATTACTTTAGCCAACATTCAAAACTTGGGAGACTTTGCATAGAGAGAGATTTCTGGCCTCTCAAAAAATGAGAAAAATCTGCCACAGCTGAGCTCACATACCTGCATTACCACTGTGGGAAAAGCTGAGTAACGTCTGCCCTTTGAGATAAGACATTGCTCCCCAGTTTGTTGCACTTCCACCAACAGAGGCAAAGCGTAGAAAGCCTTTATCCACACTTGCACCATTTTCCCATAGTAGAGAAATATTTCTCCATCTCATGTCCGTCAAGAGGGAAAATTGAAAGAAAGAAAAAAAAAAAAAGGACCATGCATTTCCAGAAAAGTGGGGGCAGGAGTATTTATTTGTGGAAACAGACTACTTTACACCTCTGTGTCACCTCCCTGGCCCCTACAGGCTTTGAGTTTACAGATTCCCACGCTACATTGTATATTGTTGCAAGAGCCCACACTTTATGCAGGGAGGCCGAACGTCAACCTTATTTTCATTGTGGGACAAGGAGACTCTTTTGAGAGGTCTACAGCAGCGGCAAACTCTTAGACAAAAGCCAGAGACCCTCGATATAGGAACACCATTCCTCCACTTAGTCTGTGTAAAATCCTTCTATAAATTGGGATAATGCCGCAGCAAGTCCAACTTGGTCTCTTGGAAACCATTCGATTCTCTCTAGCCTTGGAGGTGATTCTCTCTAGGCAAGCTCTTAGACATGGCTTTGCAGGGACCACACAGTTCGATTTGAGCCCACTCTGGTTCAGGCCCGCTTAGCTCAGTGAGCCTTGATTGATAAAACAGCACATTTAATGTTATTGTTTCCTACTTGGAAGCCAAGGGGGGAAGCTTAGGAAAATAGGCAGAACCTAGTGATTCCCAAACAAGGAGGTGTTCATGACGAACTTTCTTGAGGAACAGGGAACTTTCTTTATCAAAAAGGAATGGGTGTTTCGTTATTTGGGGAATTTTTTGGTTTTGTTTTGTAAAAGCACAGGTAGTCTGTAATAGACAGGACCTTTCTCATGGGCCCCTTGACGTAGGCCCTTCACTGTATTCTCTCCCATAGACCACAGCCGGGAACACGGCCTGTGGCCTCACAACCTGGAAGGTAGAAGTTGCAGGTTTCAGGCAAAAGGGAGGGCTCAGATTGCCTAAAATCTTCCAGAATATTCCTTCAAACGGGGGGGGGGGTATTGAAGTCTTTTAACCATCCAACTCTAAGCCTTTCCCATGACCCACCAAAACTAGGCCCACTGCCTCAGGTGGTTTTCAGGCTAGAGGTGAACGCCGAGGTGTCTCACTCCCTATACCTCTAAAGAGGAGTCAGCTCTGTGGAAGGGGAAGGGTGGGGGAGGCCTTTTAAAGGACCCCATCTGGTTCCCAAGGTAACACTCTTCTTTCCCAGTCCATGTCTTGCCAGGGTCTTAACTTTCTCTGCTTCTTATCTGCCCTGGGGAGGGGAGGCTGAGCCAGGTAGCTGCTGCCTTCTAGAGGCTGCTCCCCAATTCATGATAGCTGAGAAAGACTCAGATGTGTCCAACCTTAGTCCCTTTTCTCCTTTTGGTTACAAACTAAAACAAAACTCCCTGGAAGCTTGGACCAGGAATGAGAAGCCAGGGCAAGAGGGGCCTAACCCGCCCCAGGCTGTGCAAACAGGAAGAGGTCTCCAAAACTGTTCAGTCTTCTGTCATCTAAGCAGGCACCCAGTGGTTCTGGTACCCTTCAGCCTCTAGCAGCTCAAGTGCCAGCAGTGAGGAAAGTAGGAGAACCAAGGCCAAGGAAGGATGGAAGTTCTCAAGTGGGCACTCTCAGTGCTTGAACTGTGCCCCTACAGAGGAGGAATCTGACTGCCTGGGCCTGGAGGGCTCTAAAGCTCACCCTGGCCAGCCCCTGCAGCCATTGCCTACATCTCTAGAGAGCCCACGAAGCAGTCACTCAGGCACTGCTCACACATATCAGGGTGGGGGCCGCCTGCCTCCAGGAGCAGCCTCAGTAACATGACAGCCTCATACTGAACTAAGATCAGGCTCTCTGGTTTCCACTCATTGGTCTTGGCTGTGACCTCTGGCTCTGCTGTCTCTGCCTTTAGAGATTCAAAGACTAAACATCACAACACATATTTCAAACAGGTCCCTTTAACTGTTCTTCATGGGACTTAGTCCCAGTCCTCTTTCTCATCCTTATTACCCCAAAGGTGACACTTTTGGAGGTCCCTCTTATAGTAAAAAACTCCAGTAAAAAGTAGAGCCAACCCAATGTCTCCCTCTTTTGAGATGGTTGTCCCTATTAACATGGACCAAGACCACATTAGCTTTGTGGGCTTCTACAGCATCGACTGTCCCCTCTTGTTTGCAAGAACTCCATGCCTCCCTGGCAAACGTCATCTCATTAAACTTGACCTCAGCTGTTCCAGGGCATGTTCCTGCTTTCCCATCTTTGTGTTCTACACTCACAGCCAAGCTGGCCACTTAGTGTTCCCCCTAGCTAAAGACAGATGTCTTGGGTCCTACAGAACCCCGTGTTACTCAGTGGGAGTGGATGTTTGGCAGGTCCCATCCTGATTGGACTTATAGGCGACCCAAGAAAAGAAAGTGCATACAGGTAAGGCAGTTGGAGAACCGTG